CCGCTGCTCAGTCATACAAAGCAGCGGTATTGAATGAGTATGAACAGTTCACGATCAACCAATGCCATTCCCTGCTACTAACCGGGTGAAAAATTGTTTCATTAGAATTTATAAAGCTCTAGAATTCTTCGAAATCCTTTAATACGTATGTATGCACATACATATGCACTAGTACAAATGTATAGTACATTTATAATTTATGTACGTGCATGCATATGTATGTATGTGCAATATAAGAAACTAAAAAACAGCTGCAACAATATCTGCAGCAATTTTATCGGCGAAGGCGGATATTATATACAAGCATTTCACAAAAAAATAATTTTCGCATTTTTGCATTACATATCGCATCGCTTTGTGAGACTTATTTCTACACATGCTTGATAATTTCTTCATTGAAAATAAGTTTATGGATAAGTGCTGGACCGAGGACCGAAGGCAAAACCATGTACAAGGCCATAGTACTGTACATTTCATTTCGCTGCATTGCGTCCGATGCATACAATTTGGTGCAGTTAGGCAAAAATTTAGCCATGCAGAAAATGAAAATTTGTGTTTGTACACAATACCATTTTTGTCCACCTAGATTTGGGATTCAGACCACTGTGCGCCGCAAAACAAGCAGGTAGTGCTCAATATAAATATAAACACTTATAAATATAAACACTTAAAATTTTGTAGAGAAATTAAAAAAATTTCCCATCATTATTCATTGTTTTTATAAAAATCTAAGTATGCAGTTTTGTAGCTCATTAAATTTTAGTAATAAAGTGCAAGTTTCAACAGGCTAAGAATTTGTGTTGATTTTTGATAATTTGATTGCTGCATTGAGACGCTTAACCTTTTTGGGTGATTTTTTTGCGACCAAAATCGCTGCACCATAAACACCGCCATATGAATTTGTGTTATTTATCCCTATTAGCGATTTTGATCGCATCACGCGACGCTTGGTCGTGTACCTAGCCTTAAGCTAGAAAATTATCGTTGTGCAATTTTTTTTTAATTTTTCGAAATTTTGTTGAAAGCCAGAAATTTGAATTTACATGAATTTTGTTAGACCGTATCATTTTGTCGCCGGGTGTAAAACAGGTACACATAGTATCAGGAACTCCTTCTTTATTGAGAAACGGACTCAAAAAATACTGTAATGTGAAAGATGCATTTTTTTAATAGAGATACCGCGAAACTGTTTTTTTGTTTTTTTGCAGCAATATACAGTTCGAAAAAACAAACGAGCGGTATATATATGTATGTATGAAGGTACATACTTATATATGTTCCAAAACAAAACGTTAAATTTATTGGGTAATTAATTAAAATGTCTTTAAAGCAATTAAAATATATACATGACAAGCGCATTAAATTGATAAGAACTATATTTGACTCTATGTACAACAGTACATATTTTCTTAAAGTACTTATGTACATTAGGGTGCATCACCAAAAAAGTGCAGTTTTCCAGCGGAATTACAAAACTTATTATACCTTAAATTTTTCCCAAAATATTAAGATTTATACTTAAGCTACCCCGATTTGAGAAGACCTCCAAAATCTTTTTATTTTGATTCTGTAGTTAAACCCTTCTACCATCTAGGTACTGTACGATGAAACGTACATATATCTAGCAAACAAAATTACAAATTGTAGCCAATATTTTTTGCCTGCGGTCGTGGGAGTATTTGTGTAACAAAACTAGCCAAATGTCACATTTATAAGCTTTGATAAAAATGTCTTTAAACATGTTATTTCTTAAGCTATATAACCGAGCTCTCAATGGGCAGTCATACAAGTTCCCACTTCAACTTGATCTTTGACGTACGTCAAAGAGAACATAGTCCATTTAACAATATCCTTTTTTTTTGTTTTCTGTGCTTTAAATATATGCATTGGTTACTTTTTTTATTATGATTTCTTGGACCAATCTTAAAAAAAAAAACTACTAGACATAAAAGAAGAAAGAGGACACTTTAATTTTAAACCAAATTGTCATGACTTGCTTTTGATGTTACATAAATATATTCGGTTCAATCATTTCAAAAGGGGCTCTTTTTTAATTTATGTTTAGCAAGCATTTTAAAAACAGTAATTTCGTTTACTTGTCGGGCAATATCCCCCTACGTCTCCCTTCTTTGCTATTTATAGCCAAAGAGTAAGCTCCTTCAATAGACATTTTCAGCAGAAATGGTCAACGTCTGGCTATAAAGAGAATCGAGGGGGGCTTTTTAAAAAATATAACAATATTCTGATCCGATTCGGCTGGTAGCCACGACATAGAATACAGAATTTTGTTCAAATTTTCATTCCTGGAAAATAATAATTTATATCCACCTATTTGGCTCGCTATAAGCACAAATTTTTCAAACGAGTCACAGAAGAAAGTGTTAAAAATGAATTACAAAAACTAAAATCGAAAAACGCGAATGACGTTACAGGTTCCCTCAAATTCTAAAACAGCCAAATGAATGAGAATGAAATTATTTTGATTTGCTAGGAAAGTTTTTAGCCCTTTTTTTTAGCCATTTTAAGCTACTTTTAAAATCAAATCTGGCCATTTTTTTCGCGGCAACACTGCTGCTCGCGTACGTGCAAAGACAAAAACAAGTCATAATCGCGCGGGAAGTTAAATGCCCAACGCTGATGTTAATACATCCAGCAAAAAAAGGGATATTGCTTCAACTATACTGAAAGTTAAATATATGTACTTAACTACTACACACATACGAGTATGTATATGTATATGTACATTAAACCCACGTTAAAAAAATAAAATCTTCAATGCGACCGTTTTGAGCATTTTAATCCTTGAAAATTGTATTGCCCTCAAAAGAGAATAACTACTTAATTTTCTTACGTGTAATTCCTATGGGAAAAATAAACACTCGATGCGCGTCTTCTTGAATTGTCGAAGAAATGGGAGATTCATGGTATCATTAGTTTAGCAAATTTGTTATATTTTATTTTTTTACGTGGTATAATGTACACGCTACACGATTACCCATTTTAGTGATATTTTAGAGACCCACAAAATGCAGTCGCTGTGGTTCCGCTAAACTAAATTTTTTTTCTAATAGCGGTCGCCCCTCGGCAGGCAATGGCAAACCTTCGAGTGAATTTCTGCCATGAAAAACTGCAACTTATAAAAATACAATCACCGTTTGCAGTCGGGCTTAAACTGTAGGTCCCTTGCCATAAAGTGTGACATGAGGGCACACGCCACAAACCGGAGAAGCTCGTCCAAATACTAACACCTATTTGAGTGACTTTAAAAGGTTTGACTTTGAATTAAAAAATAATAGATGTTCCTTGAAAATATTTATATCTATTAAGCTTCTATTAAAAGGACATCTCAAACTACACCTATGGCTGGTTAATCGTTAAAATATTGTTTAGAAACCCAATGAAACATTTATTTAAAGGGAAAATGGCCTGCCTCGACTTAGGCAACTTGAATTGACGGGAACAGACATGTATTAGGTTTTTTTACAGGAACATTGGACCGTATAAATAAAACCTGAGCAATAGCTTTTTCTAAAATTTCAGACTTTTCAATTAAATTTATTTGAAAAAATTTAGTAAAAGTTCTGAGATTCCCATTTATTACCAAATTTTGACAAAACGTTATTTTTTTTTAGTTTTTCATTTCTCATCCTCTCCTCACATTTTTAATTTTAGAAAAAGGTCAATGCCTAATGTCCATAAATATTTATATGTGGCATTTATGTGACGTTTCCAAAAAAATATGTTTTATCAAAATGGTCAGCACTGGTGAAAAAATGAATGCGCTACATTGGTATCAACGCTCAATGTCTAAATAAAATATGATATATCCACTTTTTGCTACGCTTCAAAACACTCTCGATATGTCTTTTTTTAATGCTGAACCTGTTACTAAAGTTATAAATCAAAACATTTTCGGCTTCCGTTTTGTTACGACCCTATTATTATTTTATAGAAATGATTTTGATAAATTCTTATATTATTTTTATGATTTAGTAACATTTTTTTTAGCGAGATTCGAAAAAAGTTCGCGGCATAAGTATACTATAGAAGAAATGGATTTAATCGCATTGATCGTGAGTGGAAAGATTGTAGCGTGCAAGTATGTTCTGCCGGCAAACCGCATATAAAAAGGTCTTTTCTGTGCTCTTGGCGTTCAGTCTTCTTTTCCCCACGTCTTTCAGTGTGCGTTTGTTTTCGTTAGTCTGAGGAAATTCCAGATAATAGCATAATAATATTCCAGCAAAGGTACGGATGCTCGTATGTGAAAGCATTTGGAAATTGTGTGTTTGAAAAAAATACGTGTTTAAATTTAATAAATTAAATTAACTTAGTTTAAGTGTTAAAAGTGTTTAAAATTACCTCAAAGCATCGCAAAAACACACACACATTTTTCCGAGTACAATGTGTATTTAATACTAATATGTAGACAAATACCCGAGCTGAGCAATTTTTGATTACGATTACGAATGCTTAATTGTAATCCTTAAACTATATGCGATAACGGTTACTTTAATTGTAATCATAAATGTTACCATTACGATTATAATAACTGTAATCTTAAAATTTTAAGGACTAAGATTATTGTAATCCTAATCAGGAAGTACATGATTACGAATACTGTAATTGTAATCATACAAATTTTAAGATTACAATTACAGTAATTGTAATCATGGAGATTATGATTGTTATCCTAAAAATATTATGACTACAATTAATATAATCGCAATCAAGAAAATGTTGATTGTGATTATCTAATATTCTGTAGAGGTTTAGTCGTTAAGTAAATGAGCGGAACTTTCTCCAGAAAGCATGTAAAATTGATTTAAAGTTGAAGTAACACAATTATACAGCAGCAGTGCGCGCTACCATTCCGAAGCGACTGGATTCAACCCAATATCGAAATATAAAAAAATATAAACTTTTTTTCTGTAATCGTAATAATGAATTGAACTTCTACATATTTTAAGTACTCTGTTGGGTTACCCCATTCATAAAATACTGTACTTTGAAAAAAAATAGTTTACATATGCATTTGCAACAAATAATTAGACTTTCTTCTTTTAAAAAAAGTTGCTGAACACATGCTGTTTCAGTGAATAGATATTCTGCCGAAATTCACAATGAAATCAAAATTAATTAACTTTGGTCCTAAATCGCCACGCCCATTTCTAGAAAATTCTTTGATTTAAAGAAAGGCGCTGAACAAACATTGTTATTGAATAGATATTCTGCCGAAATCCACAATAAAATCTTCATTTTGTTAACTTTAGTTATAAAATTGCCACGTTCTTCTCTGTGGGTTTATCGCCTTTAGCAAAGATTTTACCAAACAAGTAAAAATTACTGGATGGGTATGCCGCCGGAATCTGCAATAAAATTTACATTTTTGCAAAAACACCCTGCTAGGTACAGAATCTCCAAAAATAATGATGGTGCAACATGGCGTATGCAGAACCCTCTTTTATTCATATTAACCCTTTCGCTATTTTGATGCCATATGGCGTCTTTGAATACTCACAGATTTCATTCAGCTTATCTAAAATTATATTTTTATATGCAACGCTGTAATGGGAAGTTTTATAAACTATATTTTAATACGGTATTGTTATTTTTATCCTTAAGAGATAAAAAAATTTCAATTTTAAAACTTTACTAAAATATCGATTTTCTTCTGCTTAGAAAGGTCTAAATTAAAATACTATATTTTACCAAATTACCCAATAAATAAAAAACAAATAGATATGCTATAGTCTCCAAAATCGTGTCAAATATTGCTAGAACTTGTAATTTGATTAAAAAAAAAGTGCTAATAAACGCGTGGTATATTTTTAAATTTGTATGATGGCATATGGCATCAATAATATTTAAGGAACTGAAATCCGCACCAGCAAATAACGATATATTTGTACTGGTAAATTACAAACGGTAAATTTTTTAAAGGAATTATTAAATCAATGCCTGTTCCAACTTATTTTATTGAATTTTGTTATTTAATTTAATTTAAATAAAATAAAATACCATATGTCATCATTCTAAAAAACACTTTAGAATCACATTTTGGAAAAAAAATTAAATTGAATGTTATCGTATTATGTATTAAGGATCATTTAATAAAAAAATCTGATTTTTAAAGCCCGAATCTAAAAAGATGTACCGAAAGGGTTAAACAATTATTTAAAATCGTAGAATAATAAAAGACACTTAAAATTATAATTAAAAATACGAGCTTTTCTAGCAGCTGAAATCTTCACCAGCATCTCATTTATTAGAGTTTGGCAGTATTAAACCGTTATTTTATTTTTTTCTCCCGTATAAGATTGACTCTTTCCATTCTGTCTTATTCCAGGGACATTTCTTGTTCACATTAGTCTATTTCCGCGCCACTTCAGAGTTGTAATGTCCTTTCTATTGAAATATTCTGTTACTTGAGCAGTGTATGTACTTAAAAGGGCTTTACTCTGGGAAGCGGAAATAAATTTTGTTCCTCTCAATCTCGTTTCAGGCGTACACTAGCCTTACCAATCAAAAGCTCCCATATAGATGCATATGTCGATTTCTTAGAAAATATTTGAAACACCCTTTTGTTTATGGGTTTTTGAGTTCACCTCCATCAACTTAGGTTCATAGTGATGACTCCAAACTTCGCCTCCAGTGACAATTCGAATAATATGTTTATCTCAGGTTTCCCTACTAGAGATGCCGTTTTTAAATCGATTGAATCGAAGAACGATTAATCGATCCCTTTCAATTAGATTTTTTTTAGATTTTTTAAGTTCTGATTCGAACCGGGAATCGATTCAAAAAATTAGAGAATCGACATTCGATTTTTTCTCAATCGATGTTCACCCCAGAAAATCGATACACTTTTAAAGAAATTTGAATTGGAGGCTGGTACAAAAAAATGTGCTGGGAATTGACACCTCCCACCTTCCTAACTTGAGAAAGAGGGTCTTCTCAAAGAAGCCTCCTGGAAATAACTGGGAATAATTTTACACACTTTTTAAAATAGTGAATAATTTTGAAGTAAAACATACTTTTTTTTGATTTGTGATTGAAAAATTAATAATTTAAAAAAATTGAAGCATTTCCTTAAGAGGGGTTAATGATGAATTAAGCATTAGATGACAAAAATTTGAATGGCAATGTTGGGCATTACGTTCATAAAAACAGCTATTAGGCGATTCATGAAACATCGCAAAGTGGCATTTTTGGTGAAATAGCAACTTTGCGAACAAAATTGTATAAACGACCTATCGCAACTCCGGATTGCAAATGCATAATGCTGCTGATAAGTGAAAAACAAACGTTTTTATCATTATACTAAATACTAAATAAGAGCTTTTGCGTTGGCCAATGCAAAAGAGCGTTTAAAAACAAAATTAGTCTGTAAAGTCAAAATTTTTGATTTAAGTTAAAACTACTAAGGCGCAGTATCCTCCTCACACATAGGCCAATAGTAGTAACGCTGTGATACCATATGGAATACCAATCTCTCTCGGTGTCATGAGCTTTACCGTTGGTCTTATTTCCACCTGTGAGATCTCTGCCAAACAAGCGTAATCTTTTTGTATGATCTTGCAACTTCAACATTGGTGCGATGTGTATGCCAATAAAAACTCTTATAGGGAAACTCAAGAGCACAGAAGTGCGTTTTCTGTTATAGGAAGGCCAAGAATCCTCGCTGTCCCACAGGATGAAAAGTTTTCCGGTACATTGCTAAATGAGTTGTGTGATCTCTTAAGTATCTTTCAAATTAAGCATTTTATACCTACGGTGATTTTTCCTTGTTAATTCACCACTTTTACAATTCAAGGTAAAATTTATGAACTGATTTCTGGGTAGATGCAAGACCGCATGATTGTGCATGAGGGCGTCAGAAAAACATAACCCCATCCTTCATTTAGACATCTGAAAACTAAATTCGTATAACTCAAACATAGGGCCAAAGCAGATCAACCACACGAGGTTTCTATACATCGCGGCTGCAGCTTATAAATTACATTAAATGTAAACAGGTGGCAACTCTAAAAAAATATTTTTGCCTGTAAGCCTTCTTCAGCCTCTTTCTTTTGACGCCCCCAATTTTGAAACAGGTGGCAACTCTCTAATTTTTTTCTTCCTATATTTTAAGTTAGACCTCTAGCAATACATCGGTGGAAACTGCATTAAAATCCATGCATTCGTTTTCGAGTGATACGCGAACAAACATACAGACAGACAGACAGACAGACAGACAGACAAAAATTCTAAAAATGGTGCATTTGGCTTCTAGTGGTCTAATAAAGACCCCCCACATTAATTTTTCTTTAATATCTATAATGTACAGACATCGACCTGTTACAATTTTATTATATGTATAGATATGTACATTTTTTGATACTTGATAGCTTTTGAAAAAATCTGGATATTGAAACCGTGTGAAAAATGTGTCTATGCTTTAAAAATTACAATCGGCCCTATTATGGTTGTCGTCGTTAAACAATAGCCCTACAAAGTCCAACTTCAGTTAAGCTGACCACAGTAGTTTTGCAAGAAACACGTTTCTCAAAAATACAGTGGCCAGCGTATGAGGCATACTTTTTGATGAAAAAATTAATAATAATAGTTTGGTCAGGTCGCCGAACTTTTATTTTTATTTTTTTAAATTTAAGTAAAAGGCGTTATTTGAGCAAATTTATGAATCACTCTTAGAAAATCGATTTATTTTTTCCCGATTTCTTCCAGCATCGATTATTTTTATTTCGATTCGAATCGGTACAAAAATATTTTTTTTTTGTTCCGATCTGGCATCTCTACTCCCTACACAGATTCAAAAACTGGTCCTAACTCGTGTGAGCATTCTCTTCTCGCATCTTACGAATTATGCAGACTTTTGGCCTTAAAAAATGGTTATAGATACAAAGGAGAAGCACAATCTATTTCTGCGATTTGCTTATTTTTCAAAATACATACACAGATATTCCAGAATAACTTATTAGAACTTTTCAACAATTTTAAATGTTTTTTCCTGAGCAAGAAATCGGTTCNAAGATATTCCAGAACTTTTCAACAATTTTAAATGTTTTTTCCTGAGCAAGAAATCGGTTCAGATTCATTAAATGTGGTGTTTCTCGTTGCATCTTTTCTTCACAGTTGTTAGCTTCCTCGGGACAGACTTTCTGCCAAATCTGGAAACCACCACCACCAAAATAGGATACAACAAGGTGTTTCAGTTTGCCAAATGGAATGCGATGTTCTTCAACATTGCTCCTGGTACTCAGTGATTAGCTGTGATCGTAGTGTATCTGGTAATGCTTTGGACCATATTTGCGCAGCCAAGCATAATCCAATTTTAATGAAGCTTTTTTTAGTATTTAGAGGTACTGAGTCGCAGAGTATTGCTGGTTAAAAAAATGTGGATGCATAAAAAGCTATCTCACATGAGTTTGCAAAATCGCAGGCTACTCTCAAACCAGCAACATGTACTTCAACTAAAAAAATATCTAACTAAAAGTTTGTGATTCAACTCTCCCTATTTTATTGCGCCCCCCAACGACTCATTGCTCTCTGTGCGCAGCTGATTTTGGTGATAGGAAATCAGCAGCAATAGAAACATTATAAAACGCCAATGTAGCCGGATTCAAGGTTTCAGTTTAGTTTTGTAATAGAGCGACGTGAGTTCCATTCAAGTTTTCTTGTGCGATCGCGCAGTTAAATAAATAATACTGTCTTGCTATTGACGAAAAAATGGCTTTGCTTTATTTTTTAATAATTTCGCTTTTGTTGTTCTCAAGTGCTCATAATGTACAAAGTGGTGAGAAGACAACAACTGAGCCAACAGAAGGCAGGGGAAACAATTTAACGGTATTGAAAAACCTTTCGCTTTTATACTTTAACATATGTATGTACCGGGAGTCATACATAAATAAACTACAATCGCACATTTGCTGTAAGAGTGTCATAATCAAACAAATAAAAAAACAGAAATTAGTTAATTATGCAGAAATGACCTCCACCTCTTATTCTATGTTGTGTAAAAATTTCCAAGCTGTATCGATTAACCATAGCTCATTAGAAGAAAACTTATCTTCAATTTTATTTATTTACTATGGGAGCGTATGAACCTGTAAACTTTAAAGCCGTTTTCCTCGAGTTTAAGATTTTTTTGTTTATGACACTTTTGCAGCAAATGTGAAATATTACAATGTACATTAAGCCGTATCACTATATATGAAAGAAAAAAAGTTTAGCGCGTGTCAGTTTTATTGAAACGTGTATGTGTGTCGATAAAAAATTTTGGGTGAACATTTTTTTCAGGCACCCGCTAAAAACTGCTAAATCGCGATTTTTGCTACAAATTCCGTATTCGTATTTTAAAATGATTAGGTCGCCGAAAAAGTCCCGCTAAGGACTATAATTGGCTCTTAATTTTTTTAATTTAATTTTAATTTATACCCCGGTTCAACCCAACTTTAAAAAATAAAAACAAAACAAGAAAAATATTTATTTTAAAGCGGTCGCCCCTCAGCAGGCAATGGCAAACCTCCGAAAACAACCATGAAAAAACAACTTCTCATACACTAACGTATGTGCGACCGCTTGTAGAACAAAATGTTTTTTTTCTTTTTGATGTCGTAAACTGGGCTTGAACCCAGACCCTGCGGAATCTATGCACCACAAAAGCGTAGGGTTTTTAAAACAAAACAAAAAAATAAGTGGAAATCCGATTTCGGTGTGAGAGCGCATGAATTTTGAGAGTTTAGCTTTAATACAGAAAGCTTTTCTCAAGTCTTTTCTTTGCGCACTGCATTGCTTCCTCCTTTCCTATGTAACACGTTTCTCTTTTTTATCACAAATAACAATAATTTGAGGTAGCGTTTATGAATTAAAAAATAATTTTTTTTTGAACCACTCTAATGTGTATAAATTTATATACAGTATTTAGGTAGTTTTAATCGATCATTAGTTGTTTAACGATACAAATATCCAAAAATTTAATATGAACCCTTCATAACTTCATTTTTTTCGCACAGATGTCATACAAAATCGAACCATTGCCCAATTCGTATGCCCACCTCGGTGAAGGTCCTCACTGGGATATTGAGAAGCAGAGCCTTTATTACGTAGACATTGAAGCTGGCAAATTGCTGCGCTACGACTACCAGGAAGATAAGGTGTACCAGAGCAAAATCGAGGGTGTGGAGCTTGCCTCGTTCGTTGTGCCAATCGAGGGTCAGAACGACAAGTTTGTCGTTGGAGATGGACGTCGTGTCGTTGTCGTCTCCTGGGATGGTATCTCTGAAACAAGCAAAGTAGATCGCGTACTCTTTGAAGTCCAACCCGATGAGCAATACGTTGTTAACCGTTTCAACGATGGCAAAGCTGATCCACGTGGTCGCCTCTTTGCTGGAACAATGCGTTATGTAGGCGATGAATTCAAGGATCGTTGGGGCGAGTTGTACAAGTACGAAAAAGGTGGCAAAGTTTCTGTGGTGAAGAGCGATGTCGGCATTTCCAACGGTTTGGCTTGGAACGAGCAATTGAAGAAATTCTACTTCATTGACACCACCGATTATGAAGTGAAGGAGTACGACTATGACTTTGATGCTACATATCGCACACCATCTTGAAAAGAGTCACACCTCAAAAGTCCGATCCGAAAATATAACTGTTTGTAGATGGTACAGATTTAACGCAATTAATACAAAAACAGTTACAATAGTAGTTTTCTAGCTAGAGAACATAATGATGAAAAATAATAATATTTGCATTAATTAGAGATATGCATCGTAAATCCAACGAATTGATTTATGAAAAATATCTATATAATTTTTTTTCGAAGAAGATGTGCGATATGAAGTCAGTTTTTTGTTTTTGCTTAAGAATTACTTGTTTATTTTATATTTGTTTAG